GATGAAGATAATGAAGAAAGTTATTCGTACAAGAAGTAAAAATGTGAAGTTAACATTAAAATTAAATATAAAAGGTCAACCATATAACAAGAATAGTGACAATACATTGATAAGTTACATTAGAGGGGTGGTTAGACAAGTTGTGTCATTATCGTTTGGCAATTGGAATGTTAAAATGTTGGCTAGTTTTAAAGGTTATCATAATGAATGAATACAACAGTAAATAACATATTTTATCCTATATCTTATTCATATTTTTTTACGTATATTTGTTTACTGTAACTTTCTCCTTATGTTTTTGTATTTAAATCTTTATTTTCATCTTTTTATGTCTTCATACCCTTTTCTGACGTGTCCTTTTGGTCCAATTAGATTGCTTTTTCAAAAATAATATAGTTCAGCAACCCATTCAATAATTTATTATCATAACAACACCTCAAATTAATTAACGTGCAAAAGCTGATTATGACATAAATACACATGCAGACAAAGTTTAGACTAAATAAATAAGATTATAATATATATGTATTGCTAGTATAAATATTAAATAAACACTCGATATAATATATATGTATTGTTAGTATAAAATTCATATAACGTGATTATATAAATCCTTTTACTATATAAATATGTGTTGTTTGACTTTGGTATATATTTTCCTCCTTTATACTTTAATCTTATACATCATATATTGCTAAGTATTTTTTCTTCAGAACTGCTAAATATTTTTTTGTTCAAAATTGCTAACTACTATTCGCTTTTTAACTAATAATAACGTAATAATTCATCTACTCCGCATATTACCGAAACCCAGAAAATAATGATAAAAAATAAGATTTGATATCTTTTCCCTTTATTAGTTTAATGTTAGATCTCCCAATCAAAAATAAAATTAAAGTTGAATCTAAAAGTGAGAGCCATGGCAGAATAAAATAAAGTAGTACTAGGTTGTTCGCCATTAGTGAGGCATCTTTCTCCTTTCTACAGTTTGGCATATATATCAGGTTACAATTAAATACTAAAGTGAAAATATTCACTCAGGGTCTTCTCTAAAAGTTATCTATATTCTGATATAAATAATTCGGACGAGTATCCTCTCCAATACTTAGAGGATAATACATCAAAAATAAAAGAAAAATTAGGATGATATGATATTATTACTTTCTTAGATATGATTATATGACATTTTTTTCTTTAAATGTACATACAAAAATTATAATTTGTCTCTCCAATATTTGAAAGAAGTCTTTTCCGAATGATCTATATTTGTTCTTCTGTTATGCAGTCTAAGGGTGGTTTTGTTGTGATTAACATGTATAGATAAGCCAAGTAGTTTTAGATTTAGATTTAGTGATTAGAAGGATTAAAATAGAACTTGCCAATTATAGAAAGTTTGAGTTTAAAATTCAGTTTAGTTAGTTGATTTTCTTGCTATATAAGGAAAGTACATTCTTTGATTGATTCAATAAGAAAACACTGCATTATTCATTGAATTCTCTCTTCTCTTTCTCTGGTTTTCTAACAGGTTTGTGATCATTATAGATAATATGACCTTGTCTTTTTCAGCCTATCAGATGGATAGTTTTGTGCGATTGAACTACCTTTGTTGTGTGGGCAACTTGAACATCTCCTCTTTTCCGGTGGCATGGCCTTACCTTTGGTGTGAAGGAAGGTTTGTAACATGAGATGTGTTGATATCATCATTTCCCTTGACAAGGTCAACAATGTGGTGTAGAACAGAATTTGTCGGCCTACTTATTGGTCTCATTCCTATTGGTTTGTGAGTGTTGACTAATCGTGACACTGGTATGGAACAATATTCAGTTTACCTTTCTACTCATAATCATAGTTATGAGTATTGTATTGTATCGTATGGTATAATATAATAATCATACCAAACATGCAATTAAAATTGGAAAATATCAATCCGAACCTATCACTGTATCATATCAGTCAAAGTCAAGTTGTACACGAATTTTTTATACTTTTTAAACTTTGAACCTTGAATATTGTAGTCGTTTATAACATGGACAATCACTATACAATTTCATGTTTCAAATAATAATATTTACAAATATATTATATTTATTATAATATATAATTTAACCAGTATGTGATTTAATTAATTAATCATTAGTCATTATGATGCATGCCAAAAATAAATTTTCAAGGATCCGTATTTATATTTATTTTTAAATTAAATAATTTAAGAAAATTTATCCTCTCACATTCTCGAAATTAGAGAGGAACCCAGTTCATTGTACTAATACTATAATAATAGCAGACAAAATCACTAATTAAAGTCTTATATAATAAAGTAATTATTACATTATTCTTCAATAGATAACATAGTCTTATATAGTCCTTACTTACTAATTGAAACAATGTTTGTAAGTTAGAATAGTTGGAATCTAATTTGGTGGCTCCGAATGCCCATATAACATATTTTTCATAATTTTAATTAATTAATTTATTATTAATATAATTGATTTAATGAACTTAATTTTTTTTGTTAACTAAGGGTAATCTTTATTCTATGATAAATAACTAATTTCTCTCGAAATATTTGGATGTCCCTCAATCAAGTGTTGTTATGGTAAGATTTACAAATAATGGATGAGAGAATAAATAAGAACCATTATAAGCACACATAATATTACATTTGAAATTTGAACTAAAGCCTTGAGTCACTTGATTTAGAGTAAATTACATTGAAATCCCCTGAATTTTATTGAAATTATACGAATGATATGTCTTTTTTGTACCTACACAACTCGTCTTTACTTTATATACGTATTGACTACCCTGCGAGAGAGGTAAGTTAATCTTTTAAACTAAAGGAATGTTGAATGCAATCAAGCTAAACTCTAGATAATGTATTTACTCTGATAAAAAATAATAAATAAATATTGGCTCTAACACTATTTAGGGTTGACTCCATAGTAATATCTTATTTATGAAAATATTTTGCGAGATTAAACAAATTTGTATATTTTCCTCAATGTGATAATTGTCTTTAGCAAATATATTTATGGTTCATAAGTACCCAAAAAACTCAAACTCAATATACTTTATTTTATCTTCACTATTTAAATTAGTTGTTGCTAACGATATAAGGCTTGAACTAAGAAACGATTTAAATGAAACAAATGCTTAAATCAACATTTTGTTTTCATTATTTTAAAACTCACAGGAGATTATCAAAAATATGCTAGATAAATGAAGATCAAATGAAAATTGATATTTTATATATAAACAAGTGTTAATATTATAAATAACATAGGGATGACGCACTTTTATATTAAAATATCATTATTAAGAAAAAATATAACATTTGAATTTATCTTATTACTCGAGTATTTGTTGTTTTTATAGGAATAGTATATCTTGAAAATGTTTGAGATAACAATTTCATTTTCCATACTTTTTGTTCAAGCATGTAATCAAGTGAATTCAAGGAAATAATAAAGGGAGATAAAATTTGTTGTTTGGTAAAAAAAAAAAGATAGATATTAGTTACTCCATTAAGTTATGAGAAATAATCATTAAGAACATAATATATATCAAAACTAAATCATAAACATTTAGTAAATGAATAGTGACACATAAAACACTCCTTGAAACCATGTATAACGGATTGAAGGTACCTAAAATCAGAGTATGGATCATTTCCATTAATGAAGAGACAAATGATATTATTACATTTGGTTTTAAGGACAAAAAAATTATTACAAATGTAATAGAATAATTGAATTGTCTTTTTCATTTTTTCTTTTTTCATTGTTTTACTCCTAAAATTGCTCGAACTCATATTCCATTAGTTGCATAAATAAACCTAAAGTATTTTTAATTTGTGCATTTATGTTCTCCCTTAGTTATTTTTTCTCAATTATTTATTAAAATAAAATTCCGTACCATGTTCACGTGGCCAGATAGTTGAAAAGAAGAACAAGATTTGTATGTTAAAAACAAAATCAATAAACTACAGTGACCTATCTTGTCTCAGAAAAAGTTGTTGGGTACACCTCATAACATCTTCTCTATATAACTACCTCAAACTAAACCCTCTTTCTCATACTCTCTTCTTCTTCTTCTTCACTTCTTCTTCGCTTCTTCCTCTTCTTTTTTCTGTTTTTTGTGCTTTACGTATAGTATACATACATATACTATAAATATATATATATATATATGATATATATACCCACCAAAGATTCATCATACACAGAAACACAATAAACCTGTTAATCATCACCTCATAAGGGTTGTTGAGGTTTTTGGTTTGTGTAGCTGTGTTGATTCCCTTCATTATTTCACCATCTTTTTACTACTTTGTTACTTTTTACAGATTTTTTCTAATTAAAGTTGTTTTTTTACACTAAATAATTAATGCATGTGTTAATATCAAGTTACCCTTAAGTAAAAGTAATATACATTATATACAAAAACAATGTACACACCAAACTCACTAATTCATCCATTAACCTTGGACATTCTTATTTTGTTAAAGAAAGATGGATATAAAAACAAAACAAAAAGCAGAAATTATGAGTTCTTCTCTCATTTATAAATAACTTAATTGTTCTGACCTTAAAAAAATAACATCATTGCTTTTTGAAATATTTTCTCCTAACACCCTCTATTTTAAATATAATATATCTGATACCGTATATTCTGTTAGGGTTCCCTTAGTTTAGTTTATTCACTGTATATATATATTCTGCTGTATCTGTCATATTGCAAAAATCCATTTGGGAGGTCATCGTAATTTTGTGTTTGTCAATCTTGTTTTTTCACTTATGATTATTTTTCCATATATCAACCGTTAAGATTTCATCTCACAACCAATTGACAATGAGAGAAGTAACCAATATGTATTTAAATTAGTCTCAATACAACGAGGCACACGTGACTTACTTCCCAACATCACTAATATAAGTGTAACTCTTGGAGCATATTTTGAGAATGTTTAGTCTTGCAGCCAATTATATGTACCACAGTCGTTGTTTGCAGGTGCAGCAGCATCAAGATTCACACATACAGAAATTCTACCTCCCATAGTAGTTTTTGTTTTGGCGTTGAGAATCTTGATGATGCTGCATCAGCAATAAATGATTCAAGGATTTATATCTTTTCAATAATAGGGGATCTTGGATCCATTGCTGCTTTAATTTGCATCTGTCAGGTGAGATTCTAGTACCCTTATCCCTTATTGGGTGTATTAATATTTTTTTGTTGAAAGTTATTAATCTTTGTCCACTATTCCACTAACAAGGTATCTACAAAGACTAAAAAATCAAGGACTCGATTTCTGGAAACTAAATTTGTTGTTGGTGTATGCATCTAGGTTCAAACTACAACCACATATAAAAGAAGTAAATCAAAGCTTGACATCAATTGTTTTTTTCCTGCCATTTAATCATGTTTCATTCTACAGGTTCAAAGCTTGGAAATAGACTCTTGCGGCTTATGATGGTAATGTTTCACTCATTGGACAGCTAGTGATATTTCCTGATTCCATACTTCCATTTTTAGGAATTCAAGGATGTAAAAGGCTGATTTATGATTTAATTTGTGTATGAGTTGCCATGTTATCTAGGTTTTTCTTTGGACAGGACCATACATGGTTTTAAAATTTCAGATTAATTTGGACCAAGTGTTGTATATATAATTTGAAAAAATTGGTAATGAATGTGGTTGCTTTTTTTGGTTTGGGTTTCTTTAACTTTATATACTGATATTATCGACAATGTTTGAATTGGTGAGTAGATCTAAATCATTCGATTTCCCTAGAATTGATGGCTAAAATGTGAATAAAGTTTAAATTTTTTACTCTTTGAATCAATGGATCCCTCCTTCTTTTTGTTTATATATCTTTCAAAATCTGTTTAAAAATAAATACATAATTTAAAATTGTCATGATTTGATTCACAAATAATATTATTGATGTTACATGCAAGCCCAATCCTCAGCAGGTGCATAAGTGTGATCTTTCATGACGATGATAACAGAATTATATTAAATGAAAAATATTTTTAATTAAATACTTTTAATTTTCCACTTTACTTTATTTTATTATTATGTTTATTTTTATAAAAATAGTGGTTCTATTAAGTTTTGTAGATTTATTTTAGGGTTCTTTTGGTGAGCAATTTCAGGGATATTCGAAATTTAAATTTTGACTTTTTGTTAAAACAGTGATTTTAAAATTTCACGAAATTAACTTTGACCATTATAGTAATTCTATACCCACTCAAATAGTTTAGAACAAAATTCACATTAATTTCTTTTGATGAATATAAGACTCTTTCTTGACTGCCCTAAATATTCATTTCAACATTCCTAAATTAATCAAATCTTATAAAATAACATAAAAATGTAACGTTTTGTTTTTATGATTTTTCTTTTTAAGCATGTGTCAACTTTTAATTGATTGAGACACAATGAGACATAAAAAGTGGAACATATATCTCCATTCCCTACATGCACTTTGAAATTTGAAGTGGTTCAATCATATAGTGAACATTACTCAACCCTAACTACTAATGTGATTTGTCCCGATTATGTATTATTTTTACATATAGTCGATTTCATTAGGTCTAAGTCTGAGTTCATGTTAAAAAAACTTGATCTATATTTGGGGTTGGGTAAAGGATAATCATGACCCGACCTGACCGTCTCATGGTCACTTATTTATGTGTTTGTTCAATCATATACATAGTAATAACTTCTCTCTAGTCGAAAATATCATCATTATCTAACTTTTTCATCATATGTACTTGATTAACAATATTCATATATCATTTTATTTTTCAAAATTCATGCCCCCAATAATAAAAAATATTGAGAAAACTTTATTTAAAAAGTTGTGCATTATATTTAGAGTAAATTACACTAACATCCCCTGAGTTTTAGTGAAATTACACAAATCACCTCTCAATTTTTTAAGTCTGCAAAAAAACCTAATTTACATACACATTGCACTGACTACCTCTGAATGAGAAATAAATGTGATTTGTTAAAGAAAAAAATGATATGTAAATTAAGTTAAACAAATATGATATATTGTTTAGACAAGTCCAAATTGTATACGATTAATATATTTTCATTATTTTTTGTTCATTACAAAATGCATCAATAATTCTAAGGATGTATTATTTAAATTACTTTTATACAATATTGTAACAAATAAAAAATAATGAAAATGTATTGACTCGCATACTATTTTGACTTGTTTTGACAATATATCATATTTTATTTAACTTAATTACACTTATCACATTTTTTGTACAAAATATCACACTTATTTCTCATGCAGAGATAATCAGTGTAACGCTTGAATATAAATTAGGTGGCTTTTTTTAGGTGTAAAAAATGGATGACGCGATATGTGTAATTTCACTAAAACTCAAGGGGTGTTAGTGTAATTTACTCTTATATTTAATCGGGCCTAGGGACAGATTCAGGTTCAAATGCTGACTCAGTCGACATTTGGGATCATATTAGCTTCGGATCTAGGATCAGGTTCAAGAAACTAACTTGACAAATATTTAAGGTCGAATAAGGGACAAGTCTTACCCAACCCATCCGGTGGAGTATACTCCACTTTAATTTTTATCCTTGAAAAATTCATATTTGTCCATTAATGGAGAAACAAGTACATGTTTTCCCTTTGTTTTAAATGACAAAAATATAATTTTTATTATAATCAAATGTATATATATGTCATTGAATATTACATTTTCTTTAATTTTTAAAGCATTTGGAATCCTTATAACTAATTATCCATTTTATGGTTTAAAACTCTTCACATCGGTATCCATGTACATTCAAGGTTTCAAATTGTATCTGTAATAATTAATAAGGTGAGACGCGGTCAGATTATAACTAGTTTCATTTTTTTCTCTGTGCATCTACACCTTAATTGTGTCACCAAACAAATATAAAAAATATGAGGCATTAATGGGAAGCTACTCAATTACTAGGTAATAATATGTTCATGCAAAGAGAAGAAAGACATTGTAGCATTAGCATTGTTATAGTGTTTTAAATTGATGTTATAATTATGAAAAAATACAGCTACAATATTGTTGCATAAACTCTGGAAATTATAATATTATGATGAATATTGTAATTTGGAAATGTAATTTAAAACGGGGATATATAAGGAATAAGATTTTGTCATATAAGCCAAATATGGTCATGTCATAGTTTTAAAGTGTGATATTATTTGTTGGGTGATGTAAATATTTTATTTATATAAAGAATTTTAAAAATAGCATAAACAAGAACCTAGCTTTTGGCTCTTCCAAACAGAATAAACGATTGTAATGATTTTGGGTACCACTATGTTTCTCTTGAATGATTCTATAAATTGTGAATATATATATATATATATATATATATAGTGACACACCTCAAAGAGAAATGAAAATAATTAATTTAAACGTAATAGTTGAATTTTATTCGAATAGTTAAGATTAAAAGATACATGCATATAATTTTTTAAGTAATCATGTGACAATAAATTAATTTTTAATCATGACAATCTTTATATAGTTTTTGTTATCGGAAAATGTAACTTTATTAAAATGGGATAACCTTAATATAGTTATTTATTATTATATGAAAATTATTTTCACTTGAATTAACTAACATATCAAAGCACATTTTTTAGTTAGGAGCATGTTAGCATTGTGTAACATAAAAAAATTGAACAAAAATAACATTTTTACTTTGTATAGATAACACACTATATAAGGACATTTTAGTAATATCAATCTTAAAATAAAAAACAATAATTTATCTCTCCTCTCACTCTCACCCAAACTTTTATCTCTCCTCTTATGCCACCCAAACTTCATCTTCTTCTTCCCTCATTTTGGAAAAATGAAAACCACAAGGCTACAACCCTCTACATTCTCCTCCATATTTTTCCATGTATCATCTTCTGACAAATAAAACTCACAACCCAAAACTCCAATTTTATTTTTAATTTTTAGAACCAAGGAAAATATTTGATTTTAAAGGAAATTGTATAGCCTCATAATTTCTTTTGATCGTGTTACAGGGAAAATGAAACAATTTCTTTGGGTGAGGGTGAGAGGAGAGATAAGTTATTGTTTTTTTTATTTTAAGATTGATATTACTAAAATATCATTATCTAGTGTGTTATCTCTACAAAGTAAAAAATTTATTTTTGTTCAATTCTTTATGATACACAATGCTAATATGCTCCTAACTAAAAAAGTGGTTCCACTTGTTAGCAAACCCCATATATATATATATATATATATATATATATATATATATATTAAAATGTGTATTTCCTCACCGCTTTCTTTCAGAAAGATGCATTTTTTATTTAAATTTGAGTCGTTTAATGTGTGACAATATGTTTGCATATTTACTAAAGAAAAATATATTGGTGAAACATCTCAAGTGAGTTTCACTTTTGCATTATATTTGAAGTGAAAAGAGAATACTTTTTAGATAACTTTAAACATTTTTAAATACATTCATTTGTGTTTCTTATGTATTTCTACTTATCATGCCATTGGGTCAACATTCTCATACTAAGTTGGTCTTTTAGATTAAATAATGCCTAGATGAGATTGAGAACTAAATTATAGTGAACTTTGATGCCATTTTCTATAATTTAAGAACAAAATTAATATGATTTTTAAAAAAAAAAAAAGACACGTTAGAGACCATAACAAGGGGAGGGAAGAGGGTAGAAAATAATGAGAAGGATATATAATATGATGTCAAATAAATATTTTAGATAGACTAAAAATGGTGTTTAACTTATTCTAATATATAATATTAGTTTTTAGCTGGTGAATGCATGGATTTTATATTTTAATTTATTTGTCATTTTTTTATATAATTCAAAACTGAAATTTAAAGCATATTTTATGTATCTTTGATTTTGTCATAATCATATGTTTTTGTTTTTAAATCAATTTTTCTGCAAAACTTTTGAATGGTTACTGAATGGACTATAGTAATTGCATTATGTAAAAGGGAGGCTATAATTAATAGTATAATTTTAAATCTTTAAAAGTGAAGTAGATTTGGAAGTTTTAGATTGTTTATTGAAAATAAAAAAA